CTTGCAGAGCGCCTGTGCCTAGCCCGTGCATCGCTCCTGCCTTTCGCAAATACGTGGCGGCCCAAGCTGTCGTAAAGAGCGAGGAGCCTGTGCAGAGAGCTGTGTTACGCTGGAGTGCGCTTGTGTGTGTGTGTGTGTATGTGTGTGTGTGTGTTCGTGTGTCCCCGTATCGTGACGCTCAGGAGGTTGTGCGCCGCAAGACGGCGGCGTGCAGTTTCAGGGTCCAGTTACCGTCGGACATTCGGTCTGTGAGAACGAGTTGTGTAGCAAGTGTGCATGTTGTGCGTGGTGAATGCTATGGCTGCTATGGCCGCAGTGGTGAAGCCTTGCCTTCTGTTGTCCTTGATGCTGCCTGCAGCTGCGCAGCGTTTCGCTTCCTTCGATGCAGCTACAGCCTCGAGCATCTACTCTTCCAAGACCTTCGGAGCCGAGCTTGCAACCACGGAGTCTTCGGGGTATTGGTGCAGCGCGGGGAACCACGAGCCGGGCCAGACCGTGTCCTGGACTGGCACTTTCAGATCACGGAGACAGCTACTTGGCCTGACTTTGCGATGGAGCTATGCTCCAGCAGAGATCAAGGTACTCACTAGCGCAGACGGTGGCAACTTTCAGGAGAGTGTCGGCTGGAGCAAGCTATCGAGATCGGAGCCCAGCTTCGAGGACACTGTCTTGTTCCCGGAGCCAGTGGCTGCGAAAGCTGTCAAAGTGTTAATGCGCGGCGCAAAGCCTTGGGGATACTTCGGGCTGTCCAATGCAGTTGCGATGTCGGGGCCATCCGCTTACATGCTCGTGAGCGGTGCTCCAGCAGCCCAAGAGCAATGCCTTGTCGCAGCTGGCGGTGGTGTGGAAGCAACGCCCTGCATCGATGCCATTGTGGCTGGCACAGGTGCTGAGGTGTTCTCCAGCAGTGCGGAAGGGCAGCTACAGGTGTTGGGCGGAAGTTGCTTGGGAGTTGTGGCCGGCAAGGTGTCTTTGGTCGAATGCCGAGAAGGGCAAGGAAGTTGGCTAGTCAGCCAGGACGGGCAAGTCAAGCAAGGCAACACCTGCTTGGTGGTGGCTGGATCGAAGGTTGCAGCCGCTGACTGCGATGATGCCTCCAGCACAGGTGGCGACAAGTTCTTCCAGGTGGCAGTTCCAGAGCATGACCCTGCGGCTGTGCGTGCGGTGCAGGAGGTGGGAATGCTGTTGCGTGCTAGCGTGGCAAGGCAGCGAAGTTTGGTGGAGTCCCTGCAGCATCTCGCTCCAAAGCTTGGGTCTTGCAGGCCTGTGAGCCTGGTCGCAAGCAAGACTTGGCCAGCCTTCGTGCAGTTCGGCGCAGTCGGGTCATCTGCTGGGCGTGCAGCGCTCGACGAGTCGCTGCCGGTCAAGGTCGCTGACACGTTTGGTCCTGGCAGGGCAGCGCTCGCGTCAGTGCTTGCGGCGTCTTCGGACACCCTCAAGCTTGTTGCTTCCAAGGTCTAGTCCTGCTGGGTTCTAGTCATCCCCTGCAACTCGAAGCAAGTGCCCGCGTGCAGAGCACCGGCTTCAGCTGCAATGTGCCCCAGGAGGCTGCGGCAATGATGCTGCGTCAGTAGGCTAAGTAGATTACGAGATTGAGACGACGTTGCTTGAGAGTTCAAATCCTTGCTCTGCCAGCCTTCTTGCGCAAGCCGGCCAAGGGCCAAGACGTGTAGAGAGCTGGTTCAACTGCTGCGGGGGTTGCTACTGCTATCTGCCAGTAGTGCCGACGTAAGCCGTGTCGGGTGTAGCGGTTCGGCCGGGTTTGGCAATGCACCCGTCTCTCACATGTACACGCAGTGCTGTACAGTTTTGTTGATGCCAGCAGTGCTTGGATGTTGTGTATCGGTGTTGAGTGCACAGCTCCGGTGCTGGCACAATTGCTGTGCTATAGTGTTCTTGATTTTCCCACCCGCCCGCCCGGGGAAGAGTTTCTGCTGCCAGGGATGGCAGTCATGTCCGACCAATGAAAAACTTGAGTCGAGTTTGTCTGGACACCGTCCCATGGCAAACAGCCCACCTGGGCACTTCATGGCGGCCTGTGCGTCACGCAGCTCCGTGCAATGAGGCTGCGGACAAAGCGGCACAGGCATCGATGGAACGACGTTGGACGGGCTCTCGCCGGCATGCCTATGCACAACGAGCACGTCATGCACAACAGTGGGAAACTCAGGCTTTGCAGGCCATCGCGACCACGCCAAGGCCTACCGAGACTACTTGCACACCCTGGGCACACCATCGGGTGAACTTTGATGACTGGCTGTCATTTGTCGGTGTTGTGGGTTTACTTCTCGCTCCTGGACGACCTCGCTGGACAGTGCGGAGCGAAGCGCAGCACCTGAAGCGTCTCGTGTCATAATGTACCATAAGTGTGCGAAGCATTTGTATAGTGGCAGCTGCCCAGAGCTTAGAGCTAGATAGTGCTAGATCCAGGTAGGTTAGCCGCAGGATTTCTTTTGAACGCACCGCCGCCCCAATCGCCTCCAGGAAGTTTGTAGTTCCTTGCTAGGCCAGGAAAGATCGGCTGTCGGCATTTGCGCATCCCACGAACAAAAGGGCGTGTGCGCACTTGCGTCTTAGAAGTGTCACGGCGTCTATGGGCTGGAGGGTGGGTAGTTTGTACATGTCGAGACTAGAGACATGGCTTGTCATGCTTGGTGTCGTGGCGCGGTCCTTCGGTGACTTCGGCACGACCTACATCCTGTTCTGCCTCTTCGGCGTGAGCTCATCTGAGTCTGCTTGTACAGCTTGGGCTTCAGGCTTGCATTGGTTTTGTGTTCCACAAAAGTGGCACTGTTGAGTTGAACCGAGCTTTGTTGGACCTTCTGGCCAACTTTGACAGACCTACGTCCGACCAATGAAAAAGGGGAGACCGACCGCCACTTCGTGCACTGCATAAGAACGTGTGAGGTATTGATCCGTTTTGTAGGTTCGTTTCTCTGTTGCAGCTCTATAGCATTTGCAGCCCGTCACATTTCCAGGTCAGGTGTGGCCTTGTCACTGGCCCGTACTGTGACATAAACCCTTACATCCCTTACGATCTAGCCAGCACATCTTGCGCGTGCAGGTGCAGCAGAGAGAAGTGTTGGTTGTGGGTCGACCTGGAGGTCAACTGCTGCTGGAGTGTTCCGATGTTGTATATCAAAAAGTTGTGTTTTGCACGCGCGGCTTGAGTTCTTTCGTGCCTCGCCCAGTCCGCCCAACGACACGCTCTGAGGGGAGTGTTAGCAGCATTCGCCCGTGCTTTGATGTGCGGGTTGCGATTCTGGAATATGTGTATGCCATATTGTGTTAGCATTCGCCCGTGCTTTGATGTGCGGGTTGCGATTCTGGCGTATGTGAGTGTATGCAGTGTATGCCATTGTGTGAATGTGCTGCAGCATATGTTATGCTGCATCATGCTACCATGTATTCCCATTCGTGAAGAAAAGGAGTGCTCTTGCGTTGCTGTGCATTTGATGTTTTGCGGTAGTTTAATCCTGTCCGACTGACATGTCCCGCAGGGGAGGCGAGGCAATTGCGTGGTTGATGTTGCTGGGGACGGCGACTCCGGCAACCCCGTGGCGCTTGGGCTGCTGCTGGCTTTGGCTGATGGCGGCCTCCGGCGAACTGAGTTACTGCCTCGACTTCTTCTGAGGCCCTGGTGCCATCGACCGCTATCACAGGTGGACACCGCTGCCATTTCAACCACCCTGGTGATGAGGAGTTGTGGCTCTATTTTAAAGAATTAATTCCGCGTTGTTGCAATAATGCATGCACATCGCTCTCCTTTTCATATGACAGCTGGGAATAAAAAAAAAAAAAATGAAAAAAAAAAAAAAAAAAAAAAAAAAAAAAAAAAAAAAAAAAAAAAAAAAACAAAAAAAAAAAAAAAAAAAAAAAAAAAAAAAAAAAAAAAAAAAAAAAAAAAAAAAAAAAAAAAAAAAAAAAAATAAAAACAAAAAAAAAAAAAAAAAAAAAAAAAAAAAAAAAAAAAAAAAAAAAAAACAAAAAAAAAAAAAAAAAGAGAATAAAAAGAAAACTAAAAAAAGTGGAATTTAACAAATGAAAAGAAAACAAAAAAAAAGAAAAAATAAAAACAAAAAAAAAAGCTCGGCGGACCACCCTTTGGGCGGCGTGTCGAACCGAAAGTCGTTGCTGGGGGAAGAAATGTGGACGTAAGGTGTGCGAGCCTTTGCAGGGTGTGTGCCTGGTGCCAGATTTGCCCACGATTGATTGTGAATTGAGGTTGAAATGTCTGTGTGCGGTGCCAGCGCTGCAGGTTGCCTTGTTTAGCGTTACATGGGCGTGTTGGTCCTGGGTCGTTGCTTCCCCCTAGACAAATGTGCTGAAAACCTCTGATGAAGGTGGCAGTCCACGTGACTCTGTTCTGTGTCAGAGTCCTTGTTCAATGGCGCATCGCTGGTAGAACAAAGTCAGAGGGCATGTGACGACTGCGTGAGTGTGGAGCACAAGTAGAGACGAGTCGACTGGTCTTGCGCGGGAGCCACTTCACAGCAGCTGCAGAGATGGACTTGGCTCGTTTGTTTGCTTGTTTGCTTCCTACTCTGCTCCTGATGTTCAGTGCTGCAGCGGCGGTTGCGGTGCCGGAGATGGATTATGCGTCGCTGCGCGCAGATGTCGTGAAAGCCTACGCTCAGCAGGCAGCCGAGATGACGCAGTCGCTGAGCGTCTTGCAAGCACTCAGCACAGACACAGCTGCGGTGCTAACTCGCTTGCAGAGCGCCTGTGCCTAGCCCGTGCATCGCTCCTGCCTTTCGCAAATACGTGGCGGCCCAAGCTGTCGTAAAGAGCGAGGAGCCTGTGCAGAGAGCTGTGTTACGCTGGAGTGCGCTTGTGTGTGTGTGTGTGTGTGTGTGTGTGTGTGTGTGTGTGTGTGTGTGTGTTCGTGTGTCCCCGTATCGTGACGCTCAGGAGGTTGTGCGCCGCAAGATGGCGGCGTGCAGTTTCAGGGTCCAGTTACCGTCGGACATTCGGTCTGTGAGAACGAGTTGTGTAGCAAGTGTGCATGTTGTGCGTGGTGAATGCTATGGCTGCTATGGCCGCAGTGGTGAAGCCTTGCCTTCTGTTGTCCTTGATGCTGCCTGCAGCTGCGCAGCGTTTCGCTTCCTTCGATGCAGCTACAGCCTCGAGCATCTACTCTTCCAAGACCTTCGGAGCCGAGCTTGCAACCACGGAGTCTTCGGGGTATTGGTGCAGCGCGGGGAACCACGAGCCGGGCCAGACCGTGTCCTGGACTGGCACCTTCAGATCACGGAGACAGCTACTTGGCCTCACTTTGCGATGGAGCTATGCTCCAGGAGAGATCAAGGTTCTCACTAGCGCAGACGGTGGCAACTTTCAGGAGAGTGTCGGCTGGAGCAAGCTATCAAGATCGGAGCCCAGCTTCGAGGACACTGTCTTGTTCCCGGAGCCAGTGACTGCGAAAGCTGTCAAAGTGCTAATGCGTGGCGCGAAGCCTTGGGGATACTTCGGGCTGTCCAATGCAGTTGCGATGTCGGGGCCATCCGCTTACATGCTCGTGAGCGGTGCTCCAGCAGCCCAAGAGCAATGCCTTGTCGCAGCTGGCGGTGGTGTGGAAGCAAAGCCCTGCGTCGATGCCATTGTGGCTGGCACAGGTGCCGAGGTGTTCTCCAGCAGTGTGGAAGGGCAACTACAGACGTTGGGCGGAAGTTGCTTGGGAGTTGTGGCCGGCAAGGTGTCTTTGGTGGAATGCCGAGAAGGGCAAGGAAGTTGGGTAGTCAGCCAGGACGGGCAAGTCAAGCAAGGCAACACTTGCTTGGTGGTGGCTGGATCGAAGGTTGCAGCCGCTGACTGCGATGATGCCTCCAGCACAGGTGGCGACAAGTTCTTCCAGGTGGCAGTTCCAGAGCATGACCCTGCGGCTGTGCTTGCGGTGCAGGAGGTGGGAATGCTGTTGCGTGCTAGCGTGGCAAGGCAGCGAAGTTTGGTGAAGTCCCTGCAGCATCTCGCTCCAAAGCTTGGGTCTTGCAGGCCTGTGAGCCTGGTCGCAAGCAAGACTTGGCCAGCCTTCGTGCAGTTCGGCACAGTCGGGTCATCTGCTGGGCGTGCAGCGCTCGACGAGTCGCTGCCGGTCAAGGTCGCTGACACGTTTGGTCCTGGCAGGGCAGCGCTCGCGTCAGTGCTTGCGGCGTCTTCGGACACCCTCAAGCTTGTTGCTTCCAAGGTCTAGTCCTGCTGGGTTCTAGTCATCCCCTGCAACTCGAAGCAAGTGCCCGCGTGCAGAGCACCGGCTTCAGCTGCAATGTGCCCCAGGAGGCTGCGGCAATGATGCTGCGTCAGTAGGCTAAGTAGATTACGAGATTGAGACGACGTTGCTTGAGAGTTCAAATCCTTGCTCTGCCAGCCTTCTTGCGCAAGCCGGCCAAGGGCCAAGACGTGTAGAGAGCTGGTTCAACTGCTGCGGGGGTTGCTACTGCTATCTGCCAGTAGTGCCGACGTAAGCCGTGTCGGGTGTAGCGGTTCGGCCGGGTTTGGCAATGCACCCGTCTCTCACATGTACATGCAGTGCTGTACAGTTGTGTTGATGCCAGCAGTGCTTGGATGTTGTGTATCGGTGTTGAGTGCACAGCTCCGGTGCTGGCACAATTGCTGTGCTATAGTGTTCTTGATTTTCCCACCCGCCCGCCCGGGGAAGAGTTTCTGCTGCCAGGGATGGCAGTCATGTCCGACCAATGAAAAACTTGAGTCGAGTTTGTCTGGACACCGTCCCATGGCAAACAGCCCACCTGGGCACCTCATGGCGGCCTGTGCGTCACGCAGCTCCGTGCTCTCAATGAGGCTGCGGACAAAGCGGCACAGGCATCGATGGAACGACGTTGGACGGGCTCTCGCCGGCATGCCTATGCGCAACGAGCACGTCATGCACAACAGTGGGAAACTCAGGCTTTGCAGGCCATCGCGACCATGCCAAGGCCTACCGAGACTACTTGCACACCCTGGGCACACCATCGGGTGAACCTTGATGACTGGCTGTCATTGGTCGGTGTTGTGGGTTTACTTCTCGCTCCTGGACGACCTCATGGCTTGTTATGCTTGGTGTCGTGGCGCGGTCCTTCGGTGACTTCGGCACGACCTACATCTTGTTCTGCCTCTTCGGCGTGAGCTCATCTGAGTCTGCTTGTACATTGTACAGTTTGGGCTTCAGGTTTGCTTTGGTTTTGTGTTCCACAAAAGTGGCACTGATAAGTTGAACCGAGCTTTGTTGGACCTTCTGGCCAACTTTGACAGACCTACGTCCGACCAATGCGGAGACTCGTGTGCCCCTGCAGCGGCATTGCAGCCTACTGGGCCTGTCTATCAAGGATCGCGCAGAAGACGGATCGACTTCGCGATTCAGCATGCTCAGCTCCCGGCTCAGACGGTCGCTCATCATGAGGGCCCTTCAGATCACTTGGTTGTTGCTTACACTTACGACGTGGCTCCCTTGATGAGACGTGGGCCCCGCCGCCGCGTGATACGATCGGACGTCACTAAGGAGCAGGCGGCTGCAAGTTTTGCAGAGTGGTCCCCGGTGGCCTTGCAGGCTGCCTTAGAGGACTGCGATGTCGAGACTGCCTGGGCTTTGCTTTCTGATAGTGCCGAGGACGCCCTGTGTGATCCTGATGAGTGTGCAGTTAGGCGGTCTGAGCACTGGCATCCCCAAGCCCCTAGCCTTACCCCTAAATCCAGCAAGAGGCCCGAGCGCTCCCCAGGCTTGCGAGCTCTGCTCCGTCTCCACTCTCGCCTTCAGACTGCAGTGGCGTCGCCACACCACCGACAACTCCAGCAGTGCATTTGGAAGTCTTTGCGAGGTGTGCGTCAGCTGGTGCCCGAGCTGCCTTACTTCACCGTGATCGATCAAGCCATGCTGACTGTTGTGTCGGACCTGGTTACAGCTTACGTGGATGCCGAGCGGAAAACCTCCAAGGCACAGTGGAGACACCGCGTCCGTAGTGACATCACGGCGGCCCGAAGCTACATCAAGAAGCGGACGGACGCCATCCTTCAATGGGAACACGAGCAAGCCAGTGCCATGGCCCCGCGGACTGGCCGACACCCTGCTGTTGAAGTTGATCGTCAGGCCGCCATCTGGCATCAAACCTGGCGCTCCCGACCTGGCTCTCGAGCTGCCCTTGACCCGATCTTGGCGGCTACCCCGAGGCCAGAAAGCACCGACGCTGTGTTTGACATCACAGCGGCGGCGCTGAAGGCCGCGACAGGCACCATGCATGCCAAAGCTCCTGGCCCAGACTCGTGGCCTGCGTCAGCTCTGGTCTTGATGCCAGACTCTTGGTGGGAGTGCGCCGCAGCCCTCTGGCGCTGCGTCTTGCAAACCGGCCGCATCCCTCGTGCCTGGACCCGCGGACGGACCAGCCTCCTCTGGAAAGCCTCCGGCAAATCGCGCCCGATAACTGTGCTCCCCATTCTTTGGCGGGCCGGAGCCAAGTTGATCAATGAGCAGCTGGCAGGATGGTGCATGTCGTGGCGCACCGCTCGAGACACAGGCGGTTTGCCGGGAACCAGTGTGGCTGCAGCTTTACAACAACTCCATTTTGAGACCCAGCAAGGCTTCCGAGCCGTCGCTCAACAAGACATCGCCAGCTTTTTCGACAGCCTGGAGTATGGCGCTACTGAGGCAATCTTGACCCATCTCAAGGCGCCTCCGGAGCTCGTCCGCCTTTTCACGAACGCATGTGCGCAATCTCAACGCATTTTTGCGCTGGAAGGAGCGCTAAGCAAAGACTGGTATCGACCTACCAGAGGACTTCCTCAGGGTTGTCCTCTCAGCCCGCTAATAGCGGCGGCCGTCACACACGTGTGGGCATGCCACGTCCTTGGCGTCGAGGATCAAGTCGACAGGCCCATCACAGGCTACGGCTATGTCGATGACCGGGTCCTACTGCTCAGGCGTCATGGATCCTTCCAGGACCTCGCTCTGGCTGTGGAGCGTTCGAACCAGTTTGACCGGGCCATGCAACTTGAGGTTTCGTTGCCCAAATGTGCCATCATTGCTGAGGCGTCGTGTCAGGAGGCTGCTGCTCTTGCTAGGACTCTCGGCTACAAGCACTTGCAGGATCTGGAAACCTTAGGTGTGGTGGTCCCTCAGCACGGCCCTTGGCGGCTCCTGAAGTTCTCACTTCGCAAACTGCAGGTTCGGCTTCAACTTCTTCGATCTCTAGGGCTGCCTAACAGAACGATTGGGCTCCTGCTGCGCTCGCTAATTGTGCCATGCTTCACGTGGGCTGCTGCCTACGCTGCACCGGACGCGGCGGAGCTGACTGCCATCAGACAGGAGATCAACCACATGACTGCTCGATTCTCCACTTTTGGTTGTGCGAGGGTCCTGCTTCATGAGACGATTGGGTGGTTCTTGGACCCCCAATTCTGCTTGGATGTGGCCACCCTGCGGGCCTACTGGCGCTCTGTCGTGCAGCCGATGGATTGGACTGAGGCCCTTCCTCTGTCGGAGCTGCAAGGCTATGTGATCAAGGCACTGCCCATGCTGGAGCCGACGCTGCAACGCTTGCAGTGGGCACTCTCTGCCGACACTAAGGTGCTTCAATGTTGGGATGTTGAGGGTTCCCTTAGGTTGCTGCATGTGGGTTACGAGTCTTTCCAGGTCCTGCTGCAATGGCTCAGGCACCACTACCGTCGACTCTATGTGGGTCGTGCAGGCCGCGTGTGGCGACCCAACCGCAGGACTGATGATGATGCTGCAGCTGTGGGACTGCGACTTCCACCGCCCTCGCGTGACGCTCAATTCGCTTTCGGAGGCCACCGTGAGTGCTTCCGGGCTCGGGCTGCGGGCAGTGACCGAGAGTTGCTCCTCGCCTCCATTGGCGCGGGGGCTTCCAATTGGCACTACAATGCAGGCGGCAACTTTAACAGCGATCATGCTCGACATAAGTGTGCGTGTGGTGGCACCCACCCCAGCAGGCCTCACCTCGCGTGGTCATGTACGCATTTTCAGGCGATGCGGGCCGACATTCAGCCCCCGGCTCACACTGCTCAGGAGCGACTCTTCGCCATGGAGGTGGGGTGTTACCCGGCAGCTCCGCCGGCCATCGACCTTCAGGATTTCAAGGAGCACCTCGTGGAGCTCCTCGGCACCTTCGCAGACGAGCAGGACCTCTTCGTAGCCACGGACGGCTCCAGCAAGGATGGCGTGGGCTCCTCGGGCATTGCTGTTCAGCATCCTGACTCGGTAGCTGCTTTCGGCGATGGGCTGGAGGATCAGAGCCCGTACAGGATGGAGGTTCTCGCGCTTGCGTTGGCCCTCGAGGCGATTGACATTGGCGGGGTCCCAAGGTACGGTGGCGTCGGGTCTACCTCGTCGTCGACTGCCAGGCGGCGATTCGGGCGATCCAGGGCGAGCAGGGCTTCGACTACGCTCTCCTGCTCGACACGATTCGGCGTTACATCAAAAGGGGTTTCGCGACGGCAAGTTGGAAGTCGAGTTTGTCTGGACACCGTCCCATGGCAAACAGCCCACCTGGGCACTTCATGGCGGCCTGTGCGTCACGCAGCTCCGTGCTCTCAATGAGGCTGCGGACAAAGCGGCACAGGCATCGATGGAACGACGTTGGACGGGCTCTCGCCGGCATGCCTATGCACAACGAGCACGTCATGCACAACAGTGGGAAACTCAGGCTTTGCAGGCCATCGCGACCACGCCAAGGCCTACCGAGACTACTTGCACACCCTGGGCACACCATCGGGTGAGCTTTGATGACTGGCTGTCATTTGTCGGTGTTGTGGGTTTACTTCTCGCTCCTGGACGACCTCGCTGGACAGTGCGGAGCGAAGCGCAGCACCTGAAGCGTCTCGTGTCATAATGTACCATAAGTGTGCGAAGCATTTGTATAGTGGCAGCTGCCCAGAGCTTAGAGCTAGATAGTGCTAGATCCAGGTAGGTTAGCCGCAGGATTTCTTTTGAACGCACCGCCGCCCCAATCGCCTCCAGGAAGTTTGTAGTTCCTTGCTAGGCCAGGAAAGATCGGCTGTCGGCATTTGCGCATCCCACGAACAAAAGGGCGTGTGCGCACTTGCGTCTTAGAAGTGTCACGGCGTCTATGGGCTGGAGGGTGGGTAGTTTGTACATGTCGAGACTAGAGACATGGCTTGTCATGCTTGGTGTCGTGGCGCGGTCCTTCGGTGACTTCGGCACGACCTACATCCTGTTCTGCCTCTTCGGCGTGAGCTCATCTGAGTCTGCTTGTACAGCTTGGGCTTCAGGCTTGCATTGGTTTTGTGTTCCACAAAAGTGGCACTGTTGAGTTGAACCGAGCTTTGTTGGACCTTCTGGCCAACTTTGACAGACCTACGTCCGACCAATGAAAAAGGGGAGACCGACCGCCACTTCGTGCACTGCATAAGAACGTGTGAGGTATTGATCCGTTTTGTAGGTTCGTTTCTCTGTTGCAGCTCTATAGCATTTGCAGCCCGTCTCATTTCCAGGTCAGGTGTGGCCTTGTCACTGGCCCGTACTGTGACATAAACCCTTACATCCCTTACGATCTAGCCAGCACATCTTGCGCGTGCAGGTGCAGCAGAGAGAAGTGTTGGTTGTGGGTCGACCTGGAGGTCAACTGCTGCTGGAGTGTTCCGATGTTGTATATCAAAAAGTTGTGTTTTGCACGCGCGGCTTGAGTTCTTTCGTGCCTCGCCCAGTCCGCCCAACGACACGCTCTGAGGGGAGTGTTAGCAGCATTCGCCCGTGCTTTGATGTGCGGGTTGCGATTCTGGAATATGTGTATGCCATTGTGTGTTAGCATTCGCCCGTGCTTTGATGTGCGGGTTGCGATTCTGGCGTATGTGAGTGTATGCAGTGTATGCCATTGTGTGAATGTGCTGCAGCATATGTTATGCTGCATCATGCTACCATGTATTCCCATTCGTGAAGAAAAGGAGTGCTCTTGCGTTGCTGTGCATTTGATGTTTTGCGGTAGTTTAATCCTGTCCGACTGACATGTCCCGCAGGGGAGGCGAGGCAATTGCGTGGTTGATGTTGCTGGGGACGGCGACTCCGGCAACCCCGTGGCGCTTGGGCTGCTGCTGGCTTTGGCTGATGGCGGCCTCCGGCGAACTGAGTTGCTGCCTCGACTTCTTCTGAGGCCCTGGTGCCATAGCAGCTTTGGTGACCGTGCCATTCACCACCCTGGTGATGAGGAGTGTGGCTTTCCGCGCTTGTGCCAATTGCTGCACATTCGCTCTCCTTTTTCTCTGACTTGATGGGCTCTGCGGACCACCTTTGGGCGCAGTGTTCGAACCGAAGTCGTTGCTGGGGGAATGTGGGTATGTGTGCGAGCCCTTGCACGGTGTGTGCCTGGTGCCAGATAAGTCCACGTTTGATTGTGAATTGAGGTTGAAATGTCTCAGTGCGGTGCCAGCGCTGCAGGTTGCCTTGTGTAGCATTACATGGGCGTGTTAGTCCTGGGTCGTTGCTTCCCCCTAGACAAATGTGATAAAACCTCTAATGAAGGTGGCAGTCCACGTGACTCTGTTCTGTGTCAGAGTCTTGTTCAATGGCGCATCGCTTGTAGAACAAAGTCAGAGGGCATAACGACTGCGTGAGTGTGGAGCACAAGTAGAGACGAGTCGACTGGTCTTGCGCGGGAGCCACTTCACAGCAGCTGCAGAGATGGACTTGGCTCGTTTGTTTGCTTGTTTGCTTCCTACTCTGCTCCTGATGTTCAGTGCTGCAGCGGCGGTTGCGGTGCCGGAGATGGATTATGCGTCGCTGCGCGCAGATGTCGTGAAAGCCTACGCTCAGCAGGCAGCCGAGATGACGCAGTCGCTGAGCGTCTTGCAAGCACTCAGCACAGACACAGCTGCGGTGCTAACTCGCTTGCAGAGCGCCTGTGCCTAGCCCGTGCATCGCTCCTGCCTTTCGCAAATACGTGGCGGCCCAAGCTGTCGTAAAGAGCGAGGAGCCTGTGCAGAGAGCTGTGTTACGCTGGAGTGCGCTTGTGTGTGTGTGTGTGTGTGTGTGTATGTGTGTGTGTGTGTGTGTGTGTGTGTGTTCGTGTGTCCCCGTATCGTGACGCTCAGGAGGTTGTGCGCCGCAAGACGGCGGCGTGCAGTTTCAGGGTCCAGTTACCGTCGGACATTCGGTCTGTGAGAACGAGTTGTGTAGCAAGTGTGCATGTTGTGCGTGGTGAATGCTATGGCTGCTATGGCCGCAGTGGTGAAGCCTTGCCTTCTGTTGTCCTTGATGCTGCCTGCAGCTGCGCAGCGTTTCGCTTCCTTCGATGCAGCTACAGCCTCGAGCATCTACTCTTCCAAGACCTTCGGAGCCGAGCTTGCAACCACGGAGTCTTCGGGGTATTGGTGCAGCGCGGGGAACCACGAGCCGGGCCAGACCGTGTCCTGGACTGGCACCTTCAGATCACGGAGACAGCTACTTGGCCTCACTTTGCGATGGAGCTATGCTCCAGGAGAGATCAAGGTTCTCACTAGCGCAGACGGTGGCAACTTTCAGGAGAGTGTCGGCTGGAGCAAGCTATCAAGATCGGAGCCCAGCTTCGAGGACACTGTCTTGTTCCCGGAGCCAGTGACTGCGAAAGCTGTCAAAGTGCTAATGCGTGGCGCGAAGCCTTGGGGATACTTCGGGCTGTCCAATGCAGTTGCGATGTCGGGGCCATCCGCTTACATGCTCGTGAGCGGTGCTCCAGCAGCCCAAGAGCAATGCCTTGTCGCAGCTGGCGGTGGTGTGGAAGCAAAGCCCTGCGTCGATGCCATTGTGGCTGGCACAGGTGCCGAGGTGTTCTCCAGCAGTGTGGAAGGGCAACTACAGACGTTGGGCGGAAGTTGCTTGGGAGTTGTGGCCGGCAAGGTGTCTTTGGTGGAATGCCGAGAAGGGCAAGGAAGTTGGGTAGTCAGCCAGGACGGGCAAGTCAAGCAAGGCAACACTTGCTTGGTGGTGGCTGGATCGAAGGTTGCAGCCGCTGACTGCGATGATGCCTCCAGCACAGGTGGCGACAAGTTCTTCCAGGTGGCAGTTCCAGAGCATGACCCTGCGGCTGTGCTTGCGGTGCAGGAGGTGGGAATGCTGTTGCGTGCTAGCGTGGCAAGGCAGCGAAGTTTGGTGGAGTCCCTGCAGCATCTCGCTCCAAAGCTTGGGTCTTGCAGGCCTGTGAGCCTGGTCGCAAGCAAGACTTGGCCAGCCTTCGTGCAGTTCGGCACAGTCGGGTCATCTGCTGGGCGTGCAGCGCTCGACGAGTCGCTGCCGGTCAAGGTCGCTGACACGTTTGGTCCTGGCAGGGCAGCGCTCGCGTCAGTGCTTGCGGCGTCTTCGGACACCCTCAAGCTTGTTGCTTCCAAGGTCTAGTCCTGCTGGGTTCTAGTCATCCCCTGCAACTCGAAGCAAGTGCCCGCGTGCAGAGCACCGGCTTCAGCTGCAATGTGCCCCAGGAGGCTGCGGCAATGATGCTGCGTCAGTAGGCTAAGTAGATTACGAGATTGAGACGACGTTGCTTGAGAGTTCAAATCCTTGCTCTGCCAGCCTTCTTGCGCAAGCCGGCCAAGGGCCAAGACGTGTAGAGAGCTGGTTCAACTGCTGCGGGGGTTGCTACTGCTATCTGCCAGTAGTGCCGACGTAAGCCGTGTCGGGTGTAGCGGTTCGGCCGGGTTTGGCAATGCACCCGTCTCTCACATGTACACGCAGTGCTGTACAGTTTTGTTGATGCCAGCAGTGCTTGGATGTTGTGTATCGGTGTTGAGTGCACAGCTCCGGTGCTGGCACAATTGCTGTGCTATAGTGTTCTTGATTTTCCCACCCGCCCGCCCGGGGAAGAGTTTCTGCTGCCAGGGATGGCAGTCATGTCCGACCAATGAAAAACTTGAGTCGAGTTTGTCTGGACACCGTCCCATGGCAAACAGCCCACCTGGGCACTTCATGGCGGCCTGTGCGTCACGCAGCTCCGTGCAATGAGGCTGCGGACAAAGCGGCACAGGCATCGATGGAACGACGTTGGACGGGCTCTCGCCGGCATGCCTATGCACAACGAGCACGTCATGCACAACAGTGGGAAACTCAGGCTTTGCAGGCCATCGCGACCACGCCAAGGCCTACCGAGACTACTTGCACACCCTGGGCACACCATCGGGTGAACTTTGATGACTGGCTGTCATTTGTCGGTGTTGTGGGTTTACTTCTCGCTCCTGGACGACCTCGCTGGACAGTGCGGAGCGAAGCGCAGCACCTGAAGCGTCTCGTGTCATAATGTACCATAAGTGTGCGAAGCATTTGTATAGTGGCAGCTGCCCAGAGCTTAGAGCTAGATAGTGCTAGATCCAGGTAGGTTAGCCGCAGGATTTCTTTTGAACGCACCGCCGCCCCAATCGCCTCCAGGAAGTTTGTAGTTCCTTGCTAGGCCAGGAAAGATCGGCTGTCGGCATTTGCGCATCCCACGAACAAAAGGGCGTGTGCGCACTTGCGTCTTAGAAGTGTCACGGCGTCTATGGGCTGGAGGGTGGGTAGTTTGTACATGTCGAGACTAGAGACATGGCTTGTCATGCTTGGTGTCGTGGCGCGGTCCTTCGGTGACTTCGGCACGACCTACATCCTGTTCTGCCTCTTCGGCGTGAGCTCATCTGAGTCTGCTTGTACAGCTTGGGCTTCAGGCTTGCATTGGTTTTGTGTTCCACAAAAGTGGCACTGTTGAGTTGAACCGAGCTTTGTTGGACCTTCTGGCCAACTTTGACAGACCTACGTCCGACCAATGAAAA